ACAAACAATTCTGGAACTGTAACTAGTTAGTTTAATTTCTTGTTAACTCAGGTGCTTTTCTCTTTGGATTTTAATGGTTTGCAGGGTCGAAACATGAAGGTGTAAACAGTGCTGGAGTGACCACCTCCAGTAATTGGAGTTCTGGCTGGAACTGGATGGGCGATGCGCAAGCAAAGATGAAGGGCACTTGCCTTATAACGTATGCACCGTTTATTTCCATAAAGGCTTTGGAAAACTTAGAGGACAAATGGTGCAGGAAGGATGACACTTTGCTGTCAATGCCCGTGACATAATTAGAGTATCCACAATCAGCAGAGCATGCAGTTCATGTGACAGACTGACCTGTGGGCAGATCCGCCGCTGCAGGAGCAAATATGGGCTAATGGAATAACTTCAGGAGCTGCCCGCAGTTTCCTTCTGGATGTGTTCTTTGCCAGGACGAATTCTTGGGTTATTTTCTCTATTCAGTATTTTACTGCAGTTGTTCCTGTAGGCAGAGCTGGGGAGGGTAGAGTCGGAATATTTGAGGAAGGCTATAAACTTGCATGTCAAAAGGCAGGTCGCTTCCTGTCGGAACCGGCGGGAGAAATGATACGACCAAGGGCTTGATCAAGCATTCTCAACCTTTAATCAGAAGGCATCGTTATTTATTACTGCGTATAATGAGGCTAATACATATTGCAAAAGGCGAGCTCCTGATAGGTGGGCGCGCGGGTAGCTGATACAACCGCAGCAGCATTCCCACGGTCAGCACCCCCAGTTCTGCATCCTGTTATTCCTTCGTGTTGGTTTCTCATAATCCTGCAAGGGCACGCTGTCCTTGATGATGATAGGTCAGCAGGCTCGTGTTTATGCCTAGTTATTTCAGTCTTATCAGTGGGATTGTGTCAACATGACCCTTTTCTGCAGGCCAGCTTTCAGCAATGCTCTCCACAGCTTCCCTCACGGTGATACTGGCCCTTGGAGGACTTAGTGCACTCTTGCAACACCAGTTGTGTGAATCTGCTCCAGAAGAGTTTGGAGGAAGCTCCCTGCCTGGACGGTGGGCATGGGAAGAGCAATTTCTTTAATTATAGGAATTCAGAAGCAAGAAGGGCCCTTAAGAGGAGTAGGATTTAGACTGGACTGACCAGCTAATTGGGATATTTCTTTCAACTGGAAACATGCTTCCACAGGAAATAGGTGTGGATACCTGGAGCAAGTTCTTCCTAGCAATTTTGCTCTTAGCTTAGCAGCAACAGACAAAGAGAAAAAAGAAAGGAAAATGAGTTTCAAATTAGCATTCCTGTGGTTGAAAAGTAGTTATTATTTACTTTAAAGCAACCCTATGGTAGTTGCCTCTTGTCAGCTCCGTGGGCCTCGTGCACTTTCTGAATTTAAGTCTGCCATGTGTGGAGCACTTTCAACGTCTAGTGTAGTATGTATTTCTTTTCCTCTCAATGTCTGACAAGAATTTCAAGATGCTGGGCTGTTGTGTTTTCTTAGGCAGCCTGTGTGGAAGGATGCGTTTGGCGGCAGTACAAGAGGCAGTGCTATAAAATTTACTTTGGAACGTTCGGATTCCTCTAGGATGGTTTAAAGGACTTCTCTTTAATTAAAAGCGCCGTACACTTAGTAAAAATCCATGTTAGTTGAGAAATTGATTTTTATTTTTTCGGGGTGGTTTTCGCTTTTTAAAGGGAGGCTTGAGTTTCCTTGTCTGGGGTAAATGTCACTGTGCTTCTATGGCGGCTTTGCTACGAGTCAGGACTTGCACCGTTCCTCCGGGTTGTCATAGAAACGCAGCTAACTGTCAGCTCAGCTCAGGCTGCTGATGGTTTTATTTGTTGGTTTTCAGGATTATTAAAATTTAACAAAAATTACTGATTTGCTTTTTATTAACAACGGCTTGTGTTTACTTTAGAAGTTCAGGCTGCATAGAAGCTTTCCCTGAAAGAAAAAAATGCCATAAAAATGATTAAACTCTGATACTCTCAAGAAGGGATCATCAAATGCGTTTAATATATGGGCTGGGGTGTGCAGCAACAGAGAGATCTCGCATTTTTTGCAAATCACCTTTTCATATCACTTTGTTTGCAGCCAAGTCATTGCCTTACCCTCCTCCTCCCCCCAGGGTTTCAATTCATCTTTTAGCTCGACTTTTACTTGACATAAAATCACAGAATCACAGAATCACAGAATCACCCGGGTTGGAAGGGACCTCAAGGATCATGTAGTTCCAACCCCCCTGCCTAGCAGGGCCACCAAACATCCACATTCAGATCAGGTTGCCCAGGACCCCGTCCAACCTGGCCTTGAACATGTCCAAGGACGGGGCATCCACAACCTCCCTGGGCAGCCCGTTCCAGGGCCTAACCACTCTCCTTGTGAAGAACTTCCCCCTAACATCCAACCTAAATCTTCCCTCCTTCAACTTGGATCCATTTCCCCTAGTCCTGCTGTTGTCAGCCCTTTTGAAGAGTTTACTCCCCTCCTGGGTGTAGGTTCCCTTCAGGTATTGATAGGCTGCAATGAGGTCACCCCGCAGCCTTCTCTTCTCCAGGCTGAACAAGCCCAACTCCCTCAGCCTGTCCTCATAGGGGAGGTGCTCCAGCCCCCTGATCATCTTAGTCGCCCTCCTCTGGACCCTTTCCAAAATCTCAATGTCTTTCTTGTACTGAGGGCTCCACACCTGGACACAGTACTCCAGATGGGGCCTCACAAGAGCCGAGTAGAGAGGGACAATCACCTCCCTCTCCCTGCTGACCACCCCTCTCCTGATGGAGCCCAAGATCCCATTTGCCTTTCGACAGGTATCATAAAAGATACCTGTCAAGAAAGCGTGAAATGGGTGCATCATTGTGCCTTCTGTTTGAGGTTTCATTTTATTTACTTTTTCTAGAAGCTTGGCAGAATGCTTCAGTGCACTGACTTCTGAAAGTATATATATATTTTTTGTGTATGCATGTGCGTATGGGAAAAATTACTTAGTTTTCACTCATAAATAAGACAGGCAAAACTTATTTACAGTGACTTCATCTAATGGTCCATGGATGAATGCTTTTATGCAAACTACTGAAGAGGCTAGAATTAACTTTTCACATTGGTTGCACATTTGATGTCCAGACTTCAGCAACATGTGGGATCTTAGAAAAACTAGATGGCTGGAGTTCAATTTTGACTTTTACAAATTTATTCAGAGATTACCCACACATTTCAAGTGTAATCTTTATGAGCAGTGTATAAAATGCAGTAATGTATTAATTGCTGTAGAATGGATGCACGCTTCCTTCCTCCTTCCACCACTTCCAGCCTTTTTGCTTTGACTCTACCTCCTCCCACACCACTGTAGTCATTTATTAAGGATCTGTGGGCACAAGTAATTTGGCTGATTTATATACAGCCCTGTAATTTAACGTTGTCATTCTGTCTGGTAACAACTTTGTTCATTGTTGGGCTTACTGAATAAAATTGTTTCTTGGTGGACATTTTGACACTTCAGACTGCTACGTCATGGGCTGTATTAATCTCATTTGTATTCTGTCACAAAACTCTGAAATAATATTTCAAAAGATCCTTTCTTTGCAGTGTATTTCTATAAGCCTGGTGCTAAATACTGAATGTGTCCATAGGTCCACATGGCTTTTTTTATGTTTTGTATGAGAGTTTGTGGCGATAGCAAATGTGGCAAAGACAACTTAAACAGAACATTAATGTCTCTTTTCCCACATTCATTTTTCAGATCATTAGCTACAAAAAGACACTGCACAGAGAGTTTTTCTGCCATTGACTGACACTGTTCATTTTTATCTTTAGTCCTAGGAATTGGAAACCAATGGTTTGTGGGAAGTAAAAGATTTGCATTACTGAGGCTCTCACTAGTGTGCTTTGGAAAGTGTTTTGTGTGGGAAATACATTCAGTGTTGGTGCATTAATTAGAACTAATAGCGTATGTAGGAGATTGTTATGAAAGGCCTACTGCTTCCCAGTGTGAAACAAGGAGTATGTATGGGTCTGTGTCTGTCTAGGCATGTACAGTAGTAACTGTGGCCTATTGAAACTCATGAAATCTCTCCTTGGCATTATACTTCAGTAGACCATCGGTCACAGATAGATGCCTGTGGCAGAACACTGTGCACCTTGAGTTTCCTTTCCTCTGGAAACAGTGGGCTGGGTGATCAGTGAGTTTGCTTCTCGTGCTTTTTACCTCAGTTTCCTCTTTGCTCACAGTGTACCACTTCCTTTGCATCTAGGTAGCAATTGATGATAACAGCTAACACACTGGGAAAGAAAAAGAAAGGAAAAGTTTCGTATTTACTGCAGATGATAGAGGTGACCAACCCATAAGAATGGACCAAGTCCGGATTGTCTTCCCGGATACTGTTGCAAAAATATACTTTTATTTAACTAAAAAAACTTTGGTATGCCTTACACAGTTGTCTTACTTGTAGTGGGTTCTTCTTATTTTTGTTTACAGCATTTTGCCCCTATCCTTCCTACAGAGATACTGCGTCTTGCGAAGGTCCTGAAGTTTCTTGTAACCTGCATGCTTCAGCTTAGACTTAAATGTGGCCATGGTAGAACAATTTATTTTATCACCATTCATTTTTCCATATCCATCTCTTAAATTTTTCTTCTGCATTGGGAATGACTAATTTTATGTAGCAAAATACACGTGCATTTTTTCCCATGCTTTTTTAGAAATCAACGAAATGCCTCTTAGACTGCAGCTGAACTGTTATGCTATTAATACAGTCTTTGTTTGCACACGAAACTTTGGAGTGAAAAAAAAGAGCAGTAACAAAAAAGCACAACCCAAACTCTGGAATGATAAAAATGTGTAAGTTTGGCTTTGGATTGTAATGGCTGTTGTTAAGATGTGATAGTGATCCATCTATGCCTGTTGCTGTATAACAATTCTGGGTATATTTACATTTCTATTTATTTAAAATTAACTTCTAAATGGTTTTTCTTTTCTATTTTTTCCTCCCTTCTATTTATACCATTCTAAACATAGGAAGATGAGAGTGAAGAGGAGCCCAAGCTGAAGTATGAACGACTTTCTAATGGAGTGACAGAAATTCTGCAGAAAGATGCAGCCAGTTGCATGACAGTGCATGAAAAGGTATCACACGACTTCAGAGCAGAGATGGTACTTCTGCTTGGGTTTATGTATTTATCTGTGCTTACAATGCACCAGTATATTTATGTGTAGAAATACTGCCAGATTTAGAGGTGCAGTGGAAGCCAACAATAATGTGAATAAAATTCATGGTTAGTGTTGAACAGTCCTTCCTTTCACAGTCAGAATTCAAGATGCAGTAATTTGTTAGATGCTGTGTTTACGTAAGCTACTGGAAAATGTACTAGATTTAATTATGGACAGTATTATGAACTACAACTGGGATACAATCCCAACTTTCCTTCGTCCAGAAAATAAATTGTCGTGTGATATGCTTCTTTCTGCAGCCTCACTCTCTGAAAACAGGTTCGTGCAAAGGGATAGCCCAGCATATATTCAGCTGTGGAAGATGTCTGAGTTTCTGTTTATATGATGTGAAGAAAGTAATTACAGTGTGTTGGTTTTTTTTAATGCTCTAATACTGTTTCAGATGTACAAGAGAATGAAAGGGAAGACGGGATAGACAATGCAAAGAAGAAATTTTATTAAGAGCTCTTTCTTTGTTCTTATCATAAAGGAACTTAAGTTGTATCTTTTTTCTTCAATGATTACTTTGTTTTCTCATCTTTTATAAATACTGGGGAGAGTTTTAAAATACGATGAATGGTGCGGAACATCTGAAAGTATGAGAGTTGGTAATTTGTCAAGTAACAGTTACTATGTAAAACATAATTGTTGCTTTCCGAATTATTTTTCACAGCCACCAGTAACTCCTTAACATTGATTGTTGAAGGACCTATCTCTGTTATTTGGCTGCCTTTTCAGAGTGGCTCGTGCTGTGCCTCTTGCACTCAAAGGACTGCTGCCACGGCTCAAGAGGCTCTTAAGATGAGACATGTATTTTAACTCTGGGAATTAATCCAATAAGTCTTCTGAAAATGTTTTTTGACAACCTAGAATTAAGCAGATATTTTGAAAATTGGCAAGCATTTCTTCCCCATCTGTGCCACCTTTCTGAGATTCGGGTGAATTCTGAAAAGCAAGAGATAAGCAGGATTGTTCTATAAGGACATGCACAGATACAGCTTTAACTACAGCATCACAAAGAGTGGCAATACAGGAAAGCTGTTTAAGTATCCCAACACTGTAAGTTTCCCAGCAAACTGTATGCACTATTTATGAGAAGGATCAATATGGTTAGAAGCTAGGTACTGGAGTCTGGTATGTGTCTGAAATATGTCTGCTACAACAGAGAACTTACAAATGAAGGTGGGTTAAGGTGCTGTTGGGGTGTTCTTTGGTTTGGTTCTGTTTCTTTTCCTGCTGAATTAAGAAAAGCCCCGCTAAAGACTCATCATTAATAAAACTACATCGTATTGTGTAAAATATGTCTCTGATTAAAGCTGTTGAACTTTGCTGGGAATCCTGAAAATCTGGCTTCTGTTTTCAGACTAATTTCCCCTCAGAATTATTTTTTTCTTTTCACTGCTAAAGCATCATATTTTCACCAGGCTTGCTGTCTGCACTGGATGACTAATCGTCATGGCACCTGGTGCATTCAAGCAGGCCTGTGCAGTGGAATAGTCATACCTAGTTATGTCTGCACACCTGATGTTTTATTAACCAGTATTGATTTTTTTACCCGGGGGACTTTTTTCTTCCTGAAAAAAGGCAACCTTGCAGGAGTGAAAGGCATTGCAGGGAATGAATTTCTAATGAACCCCTTCTTTCCCTTTTTTGACTCCTTTTAATGTAGCTTCATATTTTAAGTGCCTGAACTGAAATTTCATTTTAAGCAATTCCATTTTGATAAATCCTTTTAAACCTTGACTTTCTGTAAGGTTATTTTTTAAAGATTGTGCTGCCTGACTGACACGCTTAGCAGTGCCTGTAAATTTGAGCATTTCATTATAGGTTGCAATGAAGCATGCTCACATGCAGTGAAATACAGAGAATTGAGGAGCCTAGACTATTTGAGTAATGCTGAAAGGAGGTGGGGGGGAATAAAAGAAACCTCTGTCATAAATCAAGTAGTACCAAAGTTCTTCCTTTCCTGCTTAGGTGTAGTTTGCATGGTTCAATTAGCAGCAGATCTCTCAGAATCAATTGCAGTCTTGTTTATATCAAAATAATTTTGTGATGGCATGCTTTTATGTGGAGGTCACTTTATTTTGTTACTTCTTTTTATAATGAAACTCTGAAATACCCAAGGAGAAGTGTTATTTGTATTGAGTCTGCCACACACCTGTGTTACTAAGTGAAAGAAGGCAAACCTTGTGGTTATCTGTGTGCTTAAAAGCAAGCAGAGACTTTCCATAACCCAGCAGTGTTTCACCAATGGCCTGTTCCTCTGTTTGAATGTTTTGCTTTTATGTTTGTGGTGGGGGAGAATTAAAGCCCAAATGATACCATGACAATTGAAACAAAGCTGTGGAAAGGATCCGAGAACTATTTCTGGTCTGTGTTTAAGTGCTTGCTTTCACACTGCATTTTTAATTTGCTGCCACAGTCCATCAGGCAGTGCATACAGACTGCAGACACACCATTAGTTGTCAGTAGATGAGGATCCTCATGACTCATTCTGACAGCTAACTTGCACTATCACAGTAATATGGGCTTGAAGCCCTGTTTTATTCTTTAGCTGCAGTTAAAATAAGCTTTGTCTATAGCAGTTTTTTTTTTTCCTTCTGAGTGTTGCTAATCATTAATCTGTTAAACATCCCGGAGTTCATTTAGCACTGCTGTAGTTCTGGTTGTGGTGTCTTGTATAATCAATCTTTTTCTTTTACAGTTTTTGGCACTGGGAACGCATTATGGCAAAGTTTATTTACTTGATGTCCAAGGGAACATCACACAGAAGTTTGATGTTGTAAGTATGGCGTTATTTACAGCACATCTACTGCATTGTAAAAAGCTGTGATGTACTGAATAATAGATACATTCGTGTTTGTGCCACACCTGAAATTTTACTGATGCATTTCGTGACTCCCCACCCCCACCATAAGACAAGTGGCAATTTATAGTCCTTGGAAAACGAAGTTGAACTGGATGGTTTGGTGATGAGCACGTCTCAGTTTCCATACAATAAACTGTCTTTCTGAAAACAGAAGAGGAAATACATATTTATGATTGTAAATGGCTATTATTAATTATGTACCCCAGAAGCTCGTGACTTCCATAAAGCATGAGCCTGCTCATTAGGTGACTGTTGTCAGTTGTTAGTGTGTATGCTATCGTCTTATCTAGTTGCCACAAGTAATTGAAAATTGATTGATTGCCTTGCTGGTTCAGTTTATCTACTGCAAATATATAACGCTAATATTTTATGTGAATGTTTTGAAGCTTGGACTCTTAAGGGATTGTATTGATTGAAGGAAGAAGAGGCAGATTTCTTTTTTTTTCTTATTTTGGTTCCTGATATTAGGGGGTGAATGAAGTGGTCAATTTAAAATTGTGTTCTAGAATATTAGATGATTTTTTTTAAAATTGTGCATAGTTGTTGATTTTTATTTTTATTTTATTTTTTACTTTATGTTTTTTAATTTATATATATACACACACACATCTTTTTCAGTGTCCTCTTTTTCCATGAGAGTCAGAGGAAGGGAACTGGCAATTATTATTTTTTTTTTCCTCCTGGTATTGTCACAAAATCTGGTAGCCAAGCATCAACTTTTCATAGCAGTGTCAGCACTTGTCATAGTATCCATTGCAAGGTGTTGGCATGTTTGCAGAAGGAACGTATGTTCTAAAGCTGACACAGCTAGTTGCATGAGAGAGGTGAAAGGTTTTGTTTATGTTTTTGAAAAATCTAATTACACAATTGTGCAAGAGGAAAGAAGTCTCAGCCAAAATGTAGCCTCCCAGGCACAGCCTTTGTAGAAAACTTTATAAATAGTAACAGTCAAATTAACAATGATCTTACTGGGCATTAATTAAAAGTTAACCTGATGATGTTCTCCAATTTCTTGTGACTTCTTCTTACTTTTCTTAGCTCTGTAGAGGTGATGCTGACTGCAGTTCAAAAGAGAAAAGACTTTGATGTCTGCAATTGGTGGTTCCAATTAGATTACGTGTATGTTACTTGTTAACTTTGTCTTCAAATAATCTGTCGGGGGAAAAAAAAAGCACATTAAAGTGTACCTGAATTCTTCTCTTCCATCTCTGCAGTAAAAGATTTGATTCAAGAACTTGCTCAAATGAAGTTGACATTTTCTCTCGAGGCAAGCATTAAATGCCTTAGACTTGTATTCATTCCAGTCTGTGTCAGGTAGTTGAAAGAGTTTATTTGTAAAAGTGTCTTTTATTTGTGGGTGCATGACCAGGGCCGTCTTCCTCCACACTCTTCCTAGAGATGAAATCTACATCCTTCTGTAAAGATGCAGTGTACAGCAAGTCATAGGAGATGCTGTCTACCAAAGACTCTAAAACAAAATCCCTGGGTTCTCTTTGTACCCACCCACTCAAATCCACTGTTCTAGTTTTCTTTGTTATTGAAGCCCAACCAGGAGCTGCTGGAAGGCTCGTTTCTTAGGATGAATTTAGGATTGGGCCGTATAAACCAATGCTCTACAGCTTTTATGATATTATCTCCTTTCTGAATCTTTACTGGCTTCAGATAAATATTTTTGTGCCATGTCTGATTATAGGGATAGGAGTGATTACTTCTTTTTAAATTCTTTTTCTTTATTAGAAGTAGACTAGAAAAAAAAGTGTTTCTTGCAGTATATTCTTCGTATTTGTCTGTTGTTGGTTTCTTGTTTATTTTGTTTGTTTCTTTTCTGGTAATACATGAATCTCCTGTGCAAAAAATAAGTACATCAAAGATCAGATGGAAAGGGTGCATTTTGTCTTTTTCATAGTTTGAAGAAAAATAATTTTGATCAAGGAGAACTTGCATTCTAAAGAAAAAATTTACTTTGTAATTAATAGGTGTTGTAGAGCAGAATGAACTATCTGTGTGTGAAACAAGGCAGCTTTTAACATTCTTTTCTGGTTAAACAGAGAGGGATTTTTTGGATGAACGCTGTCAGCTGTTGAACCAGTAGAGATAGTTTGTTTTCCACTGGCTGCTATATGTCAGAATATTTTCCTTCTAACCTGAACTTCTAAAGATTTTGGACTACAGATTAGAAGAATGACAAACAAAACTCTTGATGGGTTTTTCCTTCTCTTCTTCCACTCTCTGTTTGCTGTCTCTCCTCCTTGGAGATTTCCATTATAGCACTGCTCTGTTGTGAATTGCAAACAAATATTTCTTAAAGAGTTAGAGTCACTTCATGGATTTCATAGATGCAAAACATTCTCTTGTAAATTCTCTGTGGCAAGGAGTATTTTCTTTAAGTTTTCTCTGGTTCTTCATTGAGTCCCGAATGAGAAAATTCCATCTGAGATGTGTTTCCATTAGTGAGTGTAAACACAAAATAGTGTTTACTACCTTGCAGTAGTAAATAGGAGAAAGATCTGTTGTTACTAATTTCTAGAAATTCGTAGTGCTTAAAAATTGTTCCAAGTAAATAAAATAGTGTCTTGTCAAAGAGAGATGACCTTACCTCAGGCACTGATATCTTGGGCAAAAGTTCATGTTAAATATGTGTGGAAAGTATCATTACTTCTTAGTCCTCTTGATTTCCTTTTGTCTCTCTTTATCTCTATTGAACAAATAAATACAAATTTTGTTTTTAAGAGAAGTCTGATTCCATCCTATAGTGGCTTTCATTTGATTTTGATCCCAATTGTGAGACAGATGTAAAGACTGACCTCAGAGGATTTACTTATTTCTTCATGTCATACATGATTATCATGTCTAGTTTCTGTGCACACTGAGAGAGAACTGACAGGTATGTTGCAGAATCTCCAAGGTAGCCAGTTTCTGGATCATGATCTTGAAGACGGAATTACACAGAATTGCAGAGGTTGGAAGAGATTCAAAAGGTCATTAAATCCACTCCCCCTGCTAAAGCATGCACCCTACAATAGATCACACAGGTTGGTGTCCAGACTGGTCTTGAATATCTCCATAGATAGAGACTCCACAACCTGCCTGGGCAACCTGTTCCAGTGTTTTGTGCCATAAAGAAGTTCTTCCACATATTTGTATGGAGTTTCCTATGTTCAAATTTTAGTTAATTAAAATAATTTATTCAAGTATCTAAACAACAACAGCAGAAAATACCTGTTTGTTTAGTTGTTTTTTTTTACAGAATCCTGTTAGAACATCGTCCTGTAATACTGGTAGAATACTTAGGTTATTTTGTTGCTGAATTGCAAATGTTGTTTCTAGTGCTGCAAAAGCTTGTATTCACGTACTCCAAAAAAATTCTCAGAGGCTTCTGTGAAACTAACCTCAAATGGCTTAGAAGTCTTTTCAGATCAATCTTTCTTCTATCCTCTGCCAGGACAACTAGTAGTCTTTTCGGGTTTGCAGTTCCTCTTTGCAATAAAAGTGAAAATGTGTGCTTTGAAACCAGTATGGGAGATTATTGTTTTTTGGAGAATTGTAAGACAGGAATTTGGGGGTGCTGGTGTCTCAGTCACCACGCTTGTGTTCTCATACAATCTCCTCTCCTACATGCCTAGCCTGTTTTTGTTTGGTTTTTTTTAGCTCTCACCAGCATGACTGACTTTGACAATGTCAGTCGCCTAAGATTAACTGATATGCATCCTCAAATAATGTATGTTTGACAAACTGGTGTTCTGTTGTACTTGGGTTCAGTGCATTGAGTGAGATGAAATGTGTCAAGTGCATGGAAATTATTACTAAAAGGCAACAAGAAGGGGGAAAAAAGCCTGCTAATGCCACTGACAAAGGATGATGCAGGACTGATTCACAGCACGTTAATTCCAAATGCCTTTCTGTCTTTCTTTTCCTCTTAGACTGTCTACAATTTATTAATATAATTATTGCTTCAACTGGCATCTTGTGGATTAAGGACTTGTAGATACGAAGAAATCTGTACAAACATGTTTAGTTAAGTAACAAATCAAAAACCTTCCAATAGGCAAGAAAATGTGTACTCATTCTGGTCTTCTAATAAACATCAAGCTTACAGCAAGAATGAGATGTCTTGGCTAGTGCCAGTGATATTCTGTGAGAAGGAGAAACAGCACCTATTTTACTAGTAATAGGGAATTTAAATATTTAATGCCTCTC